CAGCCCTGCTTCGGCTCTGAAATGGAGGCAGGAGCTCTCAGAGCTCCGTGCACGATGAGAGCAGTTGCTCAGGGGCCTGTTAGATATGCATCAGGATGGAAACGCTGAGTTGTTATGGAAGAACGCATCTTGCAGAGCAGTTGCTCAGTTCCTGATGTCTTGGCCTCTGGGAGGTTTTGTCCTGGATCTGCTTTAAAGGTGATTTTTTGGGGGGTTCATAAGGTTCTAACTTCTGGAAGTGGAAACCAGTGTTTCAGTATAGGTGCTGGCCTTGTGTCCCGCTGGAATCTGCGTGGGCCACAGGCAGAAGACACTTGTGGGTGGTGTGGTTTGCTTTGGTTTGGTTTTTTCCCTCCCCTGGTGTGGGCTGCTGGTGCTCTCAGAGGCAGCAGTCACTAAAAGCTGGCCAGAGTGGGTGTTCAGTTGTTTCCTGCGCTGTCTTCAGCTCCATGTTTTCCAACCTGGAGAAGGTGTTGGGAAACCTGTCTTCTCCCAGCCCTGCCACCAAGGGCCATTCGGGATGACTCCCTTCCAGCTGGCAGCCCCAGGGTGTCATGAGTGCTGCCTTTCCATGGGTCTCTGGCCAGCGGCCCGGCACTTCCCTTTGGCAGACATGATCTGCTTAGTGGGACGTGCTGACAGCCGCTGTCGGTCGGACTTCCCAGCCAAGGGTACGGAGAAATGCAGAGGGGTCTTCGCTGGTAGGTTTTGTGGGTCGCTCTCGGGGTTATGGCTGGCCCTCCTGCTCCACGTTCTGCCTTTGGTGTTCACTTTTACTTTCCTAAACACTTGTGTTCCTCATGAAACACAGGAATATGGAAATGATCAAGGAAAATTATTATGGTGTCAGTGTAGATTTTAGAGAGGAAAGGAGGTTATAGTCTCACGTTTTGTGGGAGACACTCCCCAGCTCGTAAAGCCATTACAGCGCCTGCTGAAACTCTTGTCTGTACTGTGAATAATACTTGTGGACGAGTTCTTCCTGTGGTATCTGTTGCCCCCGACAGCGGCAGTTGTTATTAAAAAATCATATTTTAAATGAAATGCAGTATTTTTCTGGATCTCACATTACCAAACAAGGGGTATTTGTTTTACCGCTGCCTGTGCAGAAATTGAAAATACTGTATGCAGAAATTGAAAATACTGTATGCAAAGTTACAAACTCACTAAATGCCATTACAGTGGTGACAGTTTTAGTTGGAAAACCAAAAATAGTAACTGGTGAGATTACAAGGAGGGAGCTAGCCCAGCAGCTCCTTGGTAGCAGTGACAAACACTTGGGTTCGGGAGCTCTCGGCTGTGGAGGAGGTGGTTGGGGGTGTTGGAAAGTGGGAGGATAAGATGCTGTCGTCGTACGTGATCTGAGAACTAACACATGTTTAGCTTCGCTAATGCTTCTCTACAGAAAGCACCATGATCCTGTTTGTGAAGTAGAGGCAGATTGAGGTTGCCTGTTTGTGACAAACATCACCAGTAATTGCGTGCGGAGTGAGACTGGTCTGTGGAGGAGAACTAAAGCTGGCAGAGGTGTCAGCACACTGGGGTTTGCCGCGCAGAATTCGGTCACTGGGATGAGGGATGCAGCAGAGCTTGTGCTGTGGTCTGCCGCTGTGTGTGTGTCAGAGCTGCTGCTCCTGTTTCCCTCATCGACCTGAACTGGGTGACTCCTTTGGAAACGCGCTGTCCTTGACCTGCCCTCTTCTCCAGGCTGTGCCTGCATGCTGCTGGGGGTGTGCTGACTTTGCACGGGGGTCAGAGCTTGGACCAACACCGGACAGCCGTGGTACAGGAGTAGGTGGCGAGTCTGATGCTGTGTGTGACTTGACTGGTGTTAGCAGCAGAACATAGCGTCTGGGCGCTGCTTACCCGAGTGAGGGGTTTGCTGGGCTTGGGCTTGCGTTTGCTGTTACCCATTTTGGATGAGCAAAAGCACTTGATTGCTTCAGGTCAATGCTGGATTAAAACAGAATTTTAAGCTGGTTATAAATGTGAATGTTCAATTTATAAAGCTTCCAGGCTTCAACTGTGGTTGATTTAGGTGCAATAATTAGTAAAACGTGTCAGTGACGGTTAATTATTATAACCTAACTGGCCACGTGCTCACAGTTTCAGATCTCTGTCACATTTAGGGCATGACTTTTGAAGCTTTAATTGTAGTCTGATATGATACTGGAGCTGTTGGGCACTCCGCTGAACGAGTAGAAAAGCTGTTGATGACCTTAGTGTAATATGAAGAGACATCTATTGTGTTACTGCAATATCACATCAGGCATCAATGCGTGTGGCTTTTTAAAAAATCAACTTAATATCTGTACCTAGAGAAGCTGTAGTTCAAGGATTTGTGCAGTGTCACTTTTAGTCTGGAATTACTGCTAAGTTGTTACACTAATGACGACCTCTGGACTACTCTTCGGATGAGAAAATGAACCGAAAGCTTTTAATAGTGCTGCCACATTAACTGTGTTCTCAGTGCCCTGTATAACTGCCAAAACTGTATCACATTTTGTTGTCTTCTGTTCCTGTCCCTCTTCCCCCCCCTCATTACAATGTTCCCATCTGTTGGTGTGAAATGTTTTATTACGGTTTTGAAAAGTTCAGCTGACCGCTGTGAGAATGTGAGTGCAGGAGCCCTGGAAAATTAGATTTCCCAAAGCCTCGGGTGCCCAGCTCTGGCAGAGCTGCTCTCAGTGTGGTCCCCTGGAGGATCATGTGAAGTAGGTTTTTTGGCTCTGTTTGTGTTCTTTCCCTGGCTTCTTTTGTCCTGTTACTTCCTGATAAGTTGTCACAGGACTCTCTGAACATCACATGAGAGCCAGGGTGAACCCTTGGTGTGTTTTGAAACTCACCACGGGCTGAATCTGGCTGCTTTATGGTTTCTTGCTGCAATTAATGTGTTGCAAATGGACATGCAAAGCTAGTTCTCTTTAGTGGCTTCTTACTGGAACATCAGAACTCGTGAAAGTCTTCAGATACTTTGGAGATCAGAGTGAAAGCTTCCAGGGTTGTATATAAAATACTGTCCCAGCTGGGAGGAGGGTGATTAGATTTTTTCCTCTTAACCCTCATCATCATTGCATCCTGGCCTCCTGAAGTCTGTCTTTGCAATACTTGTTGTGAAATGGTTTCCTTTGTGTAGGCTTTCTCATCATTGAGACCTAAACTTTGACCACGCTAAGTATATTAAATAAAGCCTATTATGCAAAGGCTATTATTGATAATAGATTAAATGGGTAATCTTAATGGAATTTACCTGCAGTGCCAGGTATCTGTAGCGTTAAGACGTGCAGATTGCAGATCAAGTGGCTTGTAGGTCACAGATGACTTATTTAATGCTTTATGTCTGTTTTCCTTCTCTCTCTCTTTTTTTAAGTTGGAGTCCTAAGTAAATATCTCTGGTGGCTAACCCTGTTGTTTCTTTCCTTTCCCCTTTTTTTTTTTTTTGTCTTCCCTCTACCCAGTGAGACTGCATCAAAATGTCCCTCTACCCTTCCTTGGAAGATCTGAAGGTGGACAAAGTTATTCAGGTATGGTAGGCTTTAATAAGATGAGTTTTGGTGGTAATAATATATCTGATAATATTTAATCCAGGGAAGGGGAGACTTTTATTGTAGATGAGAACTTGTTTCACCATTGCACTCTAAAAGGGGAAACATAAACGGTTTACTTTGTAGCTTGATGTAATTTGATTATTGCTTATTTTACCACTGTTGGATATATTTATTGTTTTACATACTCTTTATAGTCATTTGTCTTTAATGTGTTAATAAGTTTGGGTTTTTTGAAATAGAGGTACTTGGTCTTAAGTAGACAAACACAGTCAGTCTCTTCTCATACTTCAGGTCTGATGTGATGAATAGGTATTGACTGAACTAATAAACCTGATGTGTCTCTTTCCTGGTTTCCAGACCTGTGGCAGAAAGCTTTCATGGTCAGCTGGACACAAAAAACCTGGCTCTCTTAATGCCATCTGGAATCACAGATTTGTCCTCTAGCTATTTCATGGTAGTGACCAGTTCTCTCAGTACTTCCAAGATTATCACATTTGTGTAAAACCCTTTATGTGTAAGAATACAAGTAGCTTTGTGAAACAAAATAATGAAAAACATTTCAGTGGATAAAAACTCCCATCTGAAAGCATTTTATAAGGAGTTTCCTTGCTTTCTTCAGCATTTTACCTATCTTGCATTTTTTTCCCTAAACTTAAACTGGATTCCCTCACAGTTCAGACAGCAGCAATGATTTATACTGTGTTTTCTGGTGGCTGCTGCTGCTGTCTTTGTCCTTCTCATTGGGAAGCAATCAGACAAACTCCACAGAACAGCTTTTTAACTCTCCTGTGCTTTCCCAGAGTGGCGTGCCTCAGTCTCACCTGGGTTTGTATGTGTGGGGTTGGGCTCTTGACGTTGTGGGTGCTGTGTTGGGATTTCTCCTCATCCCATCTGCTTACCCCACCCCATTCTTCTTATCTTGCCAAAGTCCTTTATCTACAGTCGGGTAACGCTGAACTGAAAAAAAAAATAAATTGCCTGGAGTCAAGAATGTGCTACTTCAGCCGGTTAAAGACCAGCTGCTGGAGTGTCTATGTTACAGTTAAAAATGTTCAGTGTGGTCCTTCTGCTGCCTAACTTTTGTGTCCACTGAATGAAGATGAGAGGAAATCGAAGTAGGGTATTTCTGTACTGAGTTATGTAAACCTTGAAATACAGATACATGTTCTGCCACTTTATAGAGCAGAGACTCCTCTTGTATGTTGTCTTGCCCGTACACTCAGCAGGGTTTATGAACTTGGGCAGAGAGCCTTGTTCGTGTGGTGACACCTCTAATCCCTTGTGGTGTTTCATAGACAGGAGAGTAAACTGTGTAGAGGTTTCCATAGGGAGCATAACAAATTGTTAAGTTAATCATTGATGACACTGTAAGCTCAAAGGTCAGTGTTCTAGAAATCGGTTCACGTGCTTGCTGTCACACTTAAAGGTGACTGTCCACTCAAAGGTTAAATCGGGATTTCACCAAGTTCAGTTGTTCAGTGGGACGTCACTATTAGAAAATCCATCTGGGGGTGGAAGAGAAGGGAGATAGAGCCAAGAGAATTTGTCTGCGGATCCCCGGTGGAGAGGCTTGGGCGTTCCTGTTGCCATCATTGATGGGGAAGATTGCCCTTCAGCATCTCACTCCTACCAACCGTAGCGGGAACTAGGAGGGTAGTGGGCTGTCCACTGAGTATGGCTGTGAGAGCGGGGAAGGAAATACTGTCATTGCCACATTACTTCAAGAGTAAGCCATTCCATTTTCACTGATATTTTTGGTAGCAAAGGCTAAATTATTTGCCTCTCCCAAAAAATGCATTGTAAAATTCTCTTGGGAGAAAGGGGGCAGAGTACTTACTGAAAGACAAAGCATGTATCCAGAATAAATGAGTGAGATTAAAGTTGCTGCTGGTTTAAAAAAAGAAAATGGACTTGTTACGTTAAATATTCTAACCTGTTCTTTTTGTCCAGCATTTGAGTTGGAGGCTGTTCTAAATATGTCTGGTATTGATAAATAATGAGTCATTCTTGCTCTGAGACTTTTTTCTGAAAACAACTTCCTGGAGAATACAAGACTATGAAGTCTTCTATTTTTAAGCATGATTTCCTTAAAAACATGAAGCAATTTGACTGTCACGTTACGTTAGATGATTTATTTGTCCTGTTCAGCATAACGTTTTGCTGTGCATTTAGTAATTTCCCCCCCACCTTTGACATTCAACCTCAGGAAGACTGTTGGGGTAGGTATTTCCATCTTGCTGAACAAGCCTTTGTAAGGCAGTGTTTTTTCACTGGTCGTGATTACACAATGCCAAAAAAGCTGTGGCTGAAGTATTGAGAAGGAAGGAAACCGACTTGCTTTAATAGATTTGTCAGTAAGCGATATAGAAACTAAACTTAATGTGGTCACTGTGGTGGCAGCTTCTGTAGAAAAATCATTTTAGAAGGTCCGTTTCTTTCAGAAGGTGTTCAGTTAGTAGCATTGGACTGTGTGGAACTTGTAACTGTGGCAGAAGTCATGACTAACGCCTGTAAATGGAGAAGAGATAAAAATGGCTGCTGTCCAGCTGGAAAAAACACTGCCAGAGATTGACTTCAGAGCTTTGAGATGAATAGTAACTAGCATGTACAAGAAGAAACAGAATACTTAGTCTCCTGGCTGCTTAATAAAGATTTCATACATTTTTCTTTACAAGATAACATATGCGAGTTTCTTTGCTCTTAGGCTCAGACTGCCTTTTCTTCAAACCCAGCTAATCCAGCGATATTGTCTGAAGCTGCTTCTCCTGTTCCTCACGATGGAGGTAAGCTCATGCAATGTATAGTATCCTAATGTTGTGGAAAGCCTAAAGTTACAGTACAGTCCAAACTACCTGTAAATATGTAATCCTCTTTACTAAGGGTGAGACCCTGCGTTTTTGGGAAGGCCAACATCCTCCCCCACTCGCCCGAAACCACCTTGGTAGAGGTGCAATAGGAGTCAAAAAACCAGTGTTTGCCTATACAAGGAAGTTGTGGCAAACACTAATCCTTCTCCTAACTTTTAGGAATCTTTTCCAAGTGAGCCTAACATAATAAGATCTGCTATTGGTACTGTTTGAGCTCTTTTTAACTCTTACCTCAAAAACTTAGTTGTCCTTATTTATTGAGTGTATTTTTGTAAGCTTGAGAGCAGCATGAGTCTGAGTGCCTTTCCTCTCCGTATGAGCTTGCTTAGGAATGAACAAACATGAATCTCTGTTAACAGAGAAGTCCCCAGGAAGGTAGAACTTACTCTTGTCAGGCTATCAACGGAAAACTTCTAGAGGATTTTGGGATCAAATGTGTAGTGGGAAATCCCTCAAACCTAAAGCTGAATGACTTGCACCCATTTTTTCTTTTCTCCCCTGCACTTGTACATCCACGAAGGTGCACAGGTATGTTTTAGTTCAGAGCTCTGGGTTGGTGTGTTCTGCTTGAACTAAGGCCGGAGACCTCGCACCAGCTTGGCCAGCAGCAGTGCTGGAGCAGCTGTCAGGAATGCTGGTGGATCAGGTGTTACAGCTTAGTGGATGGAGCTGTCTGCAGTTCTCTTGGACTGGTGTGTCTGAGATGACTTTGAGACAGGAGTTTGGGTAGCTCACCAGGAACAGATGCTTACCTGGCCTCACTTCACACACCAGCTTTAAGTTTACTTCCGCAGTCTGCTCTTGGCGACATTCTTCCTGCTCTCCAGAGTTCGAATTCTTTTGCAATCTTTGTGTGTGCCGGCCAAATGACATAATTTTGACATCACCTTGTGTGTGAATTGTTCCAGAGCTGTGTGTGGCTGAAGGGTGATTAATCACTCAATATATCCCAAAGGAAGGGAGGCCTGCACCGTCCACAGGATGTGCCAAACCTGGTGGGAGTACCTCTGTACTGGCAGAGGCAGGAGAATATACAGTATCAAGAGCTTCTGCATGTGTTCTGCTATTTGGAGGTCTCTGGTTTGAATGAGAACGTAATACAGCCAGCAAAGATGTGTCCTGAGTTGTGGTCTTTGATGAAGAACAAAAGAGAGAAATTCAGTAGCTGTAGAAGACTTCTGGAGCGTTAATTGTGTCTAATATAGCGAAAATAGAATAAATATTTATTAAAAGCTTATTAATCAATATTGGTGAAACTGCAAGCTGATGGATCAGTCTGGAATGAAGATCAGACAGCTCTCATGTGAAGCAGCATGCAAACATGACCACTGGAAGTATTAAGGAGTAAAAAAGTCTCTTGTTTATACTGGAATTCACCTTGCAATGACCTTTGTTCCTTCCCAGGAAACTTACTTTCTTTTCCTGGCCAAATGTGGATTCTTAAGCAGCTGGTTTTATACACTTGTAAATGAAAACCTGCAGCCTTCTTGCTTCCGAGGCCATCCCTTGCACCACTTTGCTTTCCAATAAGCCTTTTCTGTCCCCACCGATTTGTTGAGAATGATGGGAACTCTTAAGAGTTCTTGTAACTGTTGCTTGTTAAGTGGCACCAGTTAATTATCTGTGGAATGTCGAGAGCAAGATCAGTCTTATTTCCAGAGTGGTTTGACTCAAGGTCTGACAAGTCTGTCAGTTCTTTTTGAATCCTTTTTTTTTTTGTCCTGCTGCCTGCATGCTGCTCCTCTTGAGCACAGAGGGATCTTCTGCTGGATATTTGAAGGGCTGTGTTTGTTTTGTCGTGTTGCAAGAATTGTACCTATGAAAGCAGTAACTACTTGTCCTGTTAAACCAACCAGTGTACTGACGGGTTTGTTATGTTTTGTTGTTCTCCTGTAGGCTTATACCCCAGACTGTATCCAGAACTTTCTCAGTACATGGGCCTGAGCCTCAATGAGGAAGAGGTGCAGAGGAACTTGGCAGTGGCAGCAGCTCCGCAGCCGCAGGGTGTAGGTACCAGCCAAGCGTGTTTTTGAAAGTATAAAGGCTGACTATGTATCTAGCATTCTAGATAATAGAGTACTGTTTGTCTTAAGTACCATATTTGACTGATAAATGAATTCTTTTAACTGACAGTGTCTATTTTTCTCCAGTCCTAAAACTGAGCAGTGTATTTCCAGTGTTTGAGGGAGTGGGGACTGCTGGTGTTGTGACTTAATTTGTGTGTTGTTTTTTTTATTTTTTCCTTTTGAAATATAACTTCATATAAACTGATGTAACTAAGTTGTCTGGGTATTTTGTTTTAATCAGCAACTGGTAACACGACCTTCTACTAATTACATGGTAGCTCCAGTGACTGGAAATGATATTGGAATTCGCAGAGCAGAAATTAAGCAAGGCATCCGTGAAGCAATTTTATGTAAAGATCAAGATGGCAAAATTGGACTTCGCCTTAAGTCTGTTGACAATGTAAGTATAGAAGCTTGCTTTTGCTTATAGAGATCTTACTGCTGGATTAAATAGTGAAGTTGGTGTACAGTCGCAAAGTTGTCTTTTTGTATAATGCTTGCTTATCCACTATCCAAATTTTAAAATCTTTCATTAGATCAGTAACTAGATTTCCAGCTGTCTGGACAAGGATCTCAATTTACAGCAGCAATTTACTTCCAGATGTTTTATAACACCTGAACAAAACTTGTATTTTTTTTTTCTGCTTTAGAGCATGAAATTGTCCTTGCAGAGCTGCAGTGATTCTTGTTAGCAGTTCAAGACTTCTTGTCTCTGTCTTTGTGCAAACACTGGGCAGCACAAAGTTCAGCAGTGTGTAGAGAAGTGCCCCTGGCTTATAGAAGTAGCTTCTCTTTTATTAAAAAATTGTACCTGAGGTTTCATGAAGGCTTAAAGTGCTTTTTATAGTTCTCCTAAGCCAGGAAATGCTGAGGTTTTCTTAGAGGAACATGTTTTATTTTCTTTAAATTTTGCCTCCGCCCCCCCCGAAGGTATTATTTGCAGTTTGTCTTGATATGCTTTCAAGAAGTCTAGACAGAACAGATTCGCCTACTTCCTAACTTTATTCTAGCATTAACTATCTGTCAGCCTCTTCAAGTTACCTAGAAACGGACTGAGCAAATCCTTTTGTCCATTGGGTTGGTATTATATAGAAAATGGGAAACTTTAAAGCATAATGTGTGTTCTGTCGTTGGTCTTCATCTTTAAGGTAGAACTTCCTCAGTGTTTTTCTTTTTTTCTTTCTCTTTTGTAGGGCATATTTGTCCAGTTAGTTCAGGCAAACTCTCCAGCATCCCTCGCTGGGCTGCGGTTCGGGGACCAAGTTCTGCAGATCAATGGTGAAAACTGTGCGGGATGGAGTTCTGATAAAGCACATAAAGTTTTGAAACAGGCTTCTGGAGAAAGGATTTCCATGATCATTCGGGACAGGTAAAGCCAGCTGCAGATACAGATTGTTGTTATCAGTCTCTCAGAGGAACTCGGGGGGGGGTTTGTGTCTTTCACTTGAGCAGCACTGCAGGCATGAAAAAAAAGTCCTTGTCCATGTATTTCACTATTAGAGTTGCTCAGAAATGTTCCCTTTTGTGGGGAACAGTCAAAATAACAGCCAAAATACTTGTAAACTTCCAGTGCACACCTCTTGCCTGGGTGTGATGAGTCTATGAGAAGACAGATGATACATGATGTAGCGAGATACATGTCTTGAAGCTTTTCCAGTGTTCTTTAAGAACCAAGTTTGATGGTGTGGAGGGCAGGCTGCTTCTCTCAGGGCAGCTATTTCTATCATGTATTGAATCAAAATACTGTGGGAGTAGATCCCCTGCTCTGTCGACCACTTCTGTGCCCGACTCCCCAGCCCCTTCCTGGATTTACTAGCTCTTTAAGACACAATTTAAAAGTTTATTGCCTGTGAAGCAGTAGGAATGTCGTTGAGGAAGCTTTGGACTCCAGAATCCTGTGGTCTACCTGTAGTTGTTAAAACTGCAATTTTGATCTACCTTGTAACATTTGTAGACAAAACTTAATTTTTAATGGCCATTTGTGGTTGGTTGGTGTGGTGGGTGTTGTATGGATTTTTTAATTTTTAATCCACATGGTGAAATATCCAAAGAATAGGGAAAATATGTAAGGTTTATATACAAGTGTACATATCCAAGTGACTTCAGCTTGGAAAGAAGAGATTAAAAAGCAAATATTAAGAAAATTCAGTTAAACTCAGCTGTTTTTCATTGTAGTTGATATGTGAGTCTCTTAGAGTACAAGTACTTTTTGTGAATCAAGATGCTGAAAGCGTGTGTGGCTCTTTTCTGTGGTTTAGTAGACATGAAAACATTTTAAATTTCTTGTACTTACAGGCCTTTTGAACGAATTATTACTATGCACAAGGACAGCACAGGGCATGTTGGTTTCATATTCAAGAACGGAAAAATAACCTCGATAGTGAAAGACAGTTCTGCTGCGAGAAATGGACTTCTTACAGAGCACAACATCTGTGAAATTAATGGCCAGAATGTAATTGGATTGAAGGTAAAATGAGTAGTGGGTGTGAATAGCTGTGAGCTTTTTGTGTGTGTACAGTAATTTTGTTTTGGAGAAGGAAAAGGATTATAATATGTCAGCTTGAGTAATGCAGGTATGACTTCTTGTTTAATAACAGGACCCTCAGATTGCAGACATCTTGGCAACAGCTGGCAATGTAGTGACCATTACCGTCATGCCTTCCAGTATTTATGAGTATATCATAAAGAGGTAGGTAAAAACCAGAGCAGCCCTGGTGTTAATTATAGTCAAGTTGACGGGGACTATTTTTCAGAGGTTAAATAAAGTGTACTCGTGATAAGACCCAATTAGAAATTTAACGTGAAGGCTGGAGAAGGGGTGGTGGGAGTCTGAAAATCTGCTTAACCTGATGCTTTAGTCAGACCAGTGCGCTTTGGTTCTCTTTTTAAAACTGCTCACGTGTTAGTGATGTTCCTTTGCCTTTTCTCCTGAAAAACCCTCTTCTAAACATAATTTTACTAAAATTGAGTCTCCAAGAACGTACAAACACATAGATAACGTACGTATTTGTTGTTTCTAGTGCAACTCATTCTGGTGATGTAAACACGATTCTTGGCGGGATATAGTTGGCTTTTTTCCTAATCCTTTGGCAGCACTGGCTTTCTACAGCTAAATCTGTCCTGCAAAAATGTTTTTGAAGTTGCTATAAATTAATAATGCTTCAGGTATAATAGAGTCTTTTTCCTCCACTTGGTATGTTCTTTCTCCAAAGCAGGTTTCAGTCGTGACAGTCCCCTTTCCCCTGCCCTCCTTCCCTCACGTGTGATGCTACTGGGCTTGCACGCATGCCTGCATCATGAAAGATGCTGATAACGCAGCTCAGTTACTAATCAAAATGTTGAGTTACCATGGGGTGCAGTTTGGTGCAGCTTTTCTATAGTAACATATTTGTTACAAAAAGTGGTGGAGTAAAGGGCCAACCTTTAAATTGTATGACAGGGCTAACAGTGACGAAGGTGCAGTGATCAGAAGCGTTAGAGGTCTTCTACAGTTGTCTTACACAACTGAACACCTTCTCCTTTTCGTTAGGATGGCGACTAGCATTATGAAGAGCCTGATGGATCACTCCGTTCCTGAAGTCTAAACTCCCATCACGTGTGTGTGTGTACATATATATAATGATGATTCCACTCAACTCGGGCTGTTCTACTCAGTGATCTCTCTCTTCTGCACATGAGCCTTTCTGGAGTCTAAGAGAAGACATGCTGCATCGAGCATTTGCATCTATAATGGCTGGGAATGTTACAGTTCAACATACCTTGTTTATTCACAAACTGTAAAACTTGTAGCCTTATGCTTGACCAATGTGAAATTCCAATTGTGTTACGACTTCTTTTCATAGGTCTCTTACTTAGTTTGTTACTACTCTAAGCCATTGCGACTAAAGGAACCCGCTAGCACTTGCAGAGTAACATGTTGTTACCCAGAACAATGCTGTGCTTTGTATGGTTAAGACCAATGAGTATTTTTACTGGTTTCTGTTTGCAAGAGTAGATTTCAAATAGCAGAGTAGAAGTATGGCTTATACTAGTTAATTTTTTGTTCTAGTAGATAC